TTTTTCACTCTTGTAACGCACCATAGGAAAAGCAGCAGTCTCTTAAATAACTGGATTCTACATTATACAACAATTAAACACCCTTCACATAGGAAAATGTCCTCTATTTCTAAATCTACATAATAATCACTTTTCCCTATTCAACATCTTTCCCATGATTATATGTGTAAATGCTAAGAGAAATGCCTCAGCCACAGTTCAGTTGGTTATGAGTAGATTTTAATATCTAATTAAGATGGGTCATTATTTCAAAGAGACACCAGTGGAGATTAACTGGATGATACAATATATGGCATTGACTCAATTGGCAGCAGTATTTTCTTTGGGTCTAGAACAAAGTAATATCCTATTCAAGAGTTCAAAATGCTTTGATCCACTCTGTCATCTCAAAGAAGGTCTTTTATTAATGCAACAGAGATGCCTGCCAGGGTTTTCTTATCACCGGAATCAATGCTGCTGCAGGTGCTATATTTCAGATGCAACTTAACACTCCAGTTCTACTTCTGTTCACTGTGGAGCCCCTTTTACAAGAAGACTTGGCCACCTGACTTTTTATTACTATTTCTGTTGAAGAGTTTCCTTCTTCCTTCCCATGTCATATTGCTGAACTCAGTTCAGGGGTACTCACATTTCTTTACTCACTCTGCATCAGCAGCGGCCATATAAATCCCATAAATAGGACTTGGTCCTGAATGTCCTACTCATAGATGTAAATGTATGTGTTTGATGAGACTGGTACTGTCTAATAAGTTTGTAAAACACACAGACATTATGGAACTGTAACATATTATTATAAAACATTTACATACTTAAAGACTGCAAAACAATAGGATTTCCTTACTATGACATATTTCCCTCCCACACTTGCAAGCAAAGCAAATTAACATATCATCATACTTCATACTCTTAATCTAACATCAGCTCTTTAATACAGTTTATAAAACACAACAAAACTAAGTTGTCAGTCTCAGCAATAAGTCAGAATAAGTACAAAACAAGTTCCTTACTAAAACCATCTGATTTGACTTCTGAAATAATTATAGACTTAATATGTTTGCCATTTGCAAATCCAAATCAACTGACATGATAGGCTAAAATCTGGAGCTTGATCTTGTACTGGTGAAATAAAAAGGATATTCTTTCCACTTTTGAGAATGTCAAAACCAAGGCTCTGAATGGGCAAGGCCTTAGAGATACTACTGTATTCAGTATGTTACCACTAATTCCTGTTAACCACGGTTTCAGTTTCTAAAACCTGAGAAATGAGAATGGATGGATCATCAGTCTGGACATTTTGTTTTGGTATACTTTGTAAAGCACTGGTTTGTCAGGAAACAGTACCTCATAGTTCTCTGTAAGAGTAATAGTGTGGTACATGACAGTGAAGCAGCCATGCAGCTGGCAGGCCCTTAAGCTTACAGATACTTCTGTTTTCAAAGTTAATAGCTATTGAAACATTTACCTTAAGTATTTTAACATTTTAAAGGTTACGGTAAGATTGTATTTATTTATTCTTAAAAACCTTCCACACAACACATCAGTTCAAGCATAAAATACCTGCACATTCTGTAATAAACTCAGTCTAGGCCAGGGTCTTCACAGTATAAACTAGGGTGTGTACAACTCCTTTCATGTGTCAATAAATGTACAGTCACTATGCAAAAGGAAAGTTTCTGAACAAATAGTACTTCTAAAATGGTCATATTCATTTGAGATCAAGAACTGCCTTTTGACTTCAAACATTTAACCTAGCACCTCTTCCTCAGCTGCCTGTTCTGCTTTTTAAGTTGAAAGCCTGATTTCAACCCATTGAAACTAAAGGGAATTTTGCAATTAATGTTCTGTACCTCATCCCCATTTCTCTAACAACAGTTGTCCTCATATTCCTCCTGTTCAACATCTATGTTTATGTCCAACTTTTATGGTCTCATGCTTCCATCAACACTGTCTCTGTAGAATCCTAAACATCCACTGGTCAGATTATGTGACCAATACATCTGTTCTAGAGCAAGCAGCAATCACAAGTATTGAGGCCATGTTACTGAGAACACAGCTGTGATGGGCAGGGCACGTCTCCAGGATGAAGGACCACTACCTCCCTAAGATCCTGCTTTATGGTGAACTTGCCACTGGCTGCCGCAAGAGAGGAGCCCCAAAGAGAAGATACAAGGACTCCTTGAAACAACATCTCAGCCTTGGCCATATTGATCACCATAACTGGTCTACTCTGGCCTCCAATTGGGAGGCCTGGAGACACACCATCTATAATGCTGCTGATGCTTTTGAGAAAGCACGCAGGATCACCCTTGAGGAGAAAAGACAACACAGAAAGAATCACATCTTGCTGATACCACCTAAGGAGTCCTTCTGCTGTGCCTTTTGCAACGGGATGTGCCTGTCTCGTATTGGCCTCTCTAGCTACCAGTGTGCTTGTAGCAAATGTGGGTAGAGCCCTTCCCAAATCTTCGTTCGTGAAGCCCAGCCATGATGGTCTCATACTTCTGTTTCTTCATGTGGGTATCAGGTACCTACATTTACCTCTGCTGATTATTTCATCTGCATTGTCATTTTTTCCTTTTAAAAAAGCGTAACGAAAGTGAAAGTACACAGGGGTTTGGATATCCTTGGGATGCAAGGGCAGGGGAGGAGAGTAGACCCATGATCTGCAAGCCATTTTTGAACTCTCAGAGACCAATGAAGTTTTCCTTTACAGGCACAAAACAAATTTAAATCTTCTAGCAACACAGTGGGCTGGGGACTTTGCTATTTATCAACTGACATGGGACTCTCAGAAACAGTCTATGGAGAACCAAAGGCTTCCATATTAAAGGTTAAAGACCCCTGAACTACATCTTCAATTATGGAAAGGATTTCCCTCTAATACTGTGATGCATCCATCTTATGTTAAGTAATTTTACACTGTTTACCTGTTCAGTGACATCATAAGGCACTAAATCAGAAGAACTTCGTACTTCCACCCTGATGCATAAATTCAAATTTTTCTCATATAAATAAACTAACAATGAATTATTTGTAATAAACAACAAAAATCTTTCCTAAAAACACACATGCATGAAATTTACATTTCAAAGAAATTTCAAGTAATCGCTAATTAATCCTGTCTAAAATAATGTTTTTAAGTAACTTAGCTGTACCAAAAAAACCCCTTAAAAATAATTCTCAACTGAATGCAGAATCTTGATTATCTCAACTCCATCTCCTAATAATCTCAAGCCAAACAAAGCCCCAATACAAAAATGAGGTTCATTTCTGTGTTCCAGAACCAGAAAAAACAATATTGCTAACACATGCATACAGCTGAGCCTGTCTTTAAACAAGGTATGAGACAATCTCTGTCAGGTGCTTTACTTGTGCGTAGACTCCGCATTCAACACAGTGACAATACAATTTGAATCACTGGGTTTGGGTGACAGATGCAGCTGGTGGCAGTTTTTAGTTTTTAAAGAATAAAGTCTTGGAAAACATTCAGGATATAACAAAAGTAGGATTTCTTGATAAGATCATTGGCCAAAAATGTTAGACACCTTTTAAAAGTACCGTTGAAAAGAGTCAGCTAGAAAATACTGCTTTTTATTATTTCAATCTATTCATTTAAAGGCAGGCAGGCAGTATAAGCATTCAGAGGGCAGAGATCAAAACTCTTACCTACCTCCCAACAAACTGATACTTTTACCACCAACTACAGCTGTGTTTTCTCTCTATTTTCTTTGTATTCCTTTCTCTCAAGATTTCAATAGCTCCCATCTCAGCCTTCCTAGAAGACTAGCTCAAGAGTAAGCAAGGTCCAGCATGAAATGACAGCAGCAGATGCAGAACTGCTCAGCCCGTCTTACAGAATTTGCAAGCCTAAATGTCAAGCCAGTCAACGCTAATTACAAAGTCATGGCTTCTTAGACCTCCAAGTAAATCTGTACTCTGTCACAGCACCTTACAGGGAGGGAATGGTTGCTTTCAAACTAACCGTAGAATTCAAACCTCCTTCCTGAAAAGGCATTATAACCACCAGAAAAGCACCTCCCAAGCTCTCCATGAAACCATAATAAAACAGCCTACAGGAGCATATTAAACAGGTTTCAGCAGAACTAAATTTTTAACAACAGTGGTTTGTGGTGGTTCTCAAGATCTCAAGATCAATTACTGCATTAGCTATCATTTGAAATGGTACATAAAGCAATAGTTTGTACAAAACAGATGACGTGGACATCTTAAGCAAAAGTAATTTCAGGTTCTGAGCTCCTGTATCAAAATAAATACCTGAATCAATGGGTGCTGTTAGATGCTCAACTCTAAAAGAATAAAGCAATTTCTGACACTTCTTATCTCAAGTACTCTTTTATCAGCCACCTTGGGAGTGTCCCCTCTTTGCACAATGCCTCAAGTAAAGTCTACTTTACTTTACCCAGTGTACTATTCACAGAGGTTACACATCTCTGTGTGTAACACAGAAGTCTTTTTTGAATCCCAAAATTTTATCACTACTTTTAAGCTAATCTGAACCCTTCTAGAATTAAAAATAAAAGAAGGAGCTTGGCCTATTTCAAACACATGGCCCTATAGCCACTTGATATACTGAACTTGAGGGAGGTCAGATAAAAGAAAGGGTGGGGTTTTTTTTTCTGTTTTGGCATATTCATGCCTACAGGTAAGGTCATACAAATTTATCTTCAATTTTTAAATTACAAAGAAGATTGAGTAAGCAAGTGGTAAACAACAGGAAAAAATGTTTATAACTATCTCCCTGCTGAAAACCAGCACTATCAAGTGGCAGCGATGAAAGTGTTTTAACAAGATTATTATTGCCAACAATATGACAAATTAAGTCTCCCAAACTAAAAAACGCTAGTAAGACAAAAAGTAATGTAGCCAGAATGTCAGCTCCAGCTATATTCAAAGAGCTTAAATGAACCTAATAAAATCCAGTTCTGAAAAGACATCTCAACTGTGAGGGACTGGGTATTCTTCTTGGACAAGGAACTCACCCAGATTTCAAGTCTGTAATCCGTAAACAATTAGTAGCATCTAGTCCTACTTTTCCATTTCTGACCACACTGGAAATGAAGGGCGAGAGCGCTGGAGAAATTCTGTTCAAGGCAACTTCAGGTGACATTTTAGCACGTTCCTCCTTCCTTTTGTCTTGAGCTGCAAAGGGACGGCAAAGGAAAAAAATAAAATCCAAAAATAGCCTACTTATTTGATGTAAATTCACATGTACTCTGCAAACATCAAAAGAAAAAAAAAGCCAAGCACACAAAGGACTACAAGTAACTACTAAGTGTGCACAGGTTTATAAACTAAAAATAAGAACAGGTAGGTTTTTTTTCCTCCTACCTCTGCAGTATTCAGTGAAGCCTGTTTATTCAATATCAACATAAACCCAGAATTATGTCCTAGACTCCTGTAATTAAGGTCCTATCCCTCTGAGAAAGAGAAAAAAACCTGAGGGTCACCCTGACAGTTTACAGTCTAGACCTCCTTGTGGGCATTTCCATCAGGTCTGTAATTGCCAAGCCACATTTCCTCTGCTTCCACTGAAATCAATGGGACTTACAGTAACTGAATGGGCCCAAGGGTTTGATTATTTTTCCGTATTCTCACGTGCAATTTCTAATAGCACTAGTGTACCCCTAACCAGTATTACTTTTACACTGGACTTCATTAGGACTCTGTGATGCCTTTTAAAGGCTAACACTGCTTCTCCTTCAGTGGTATTGCCATACTCTTTAACAAGCATCTTCATCTTCCTTCACGTAACAGATCAGGAAGCTGATGTAGACACAACTTAAGCAGTTTTTTCAGAAATACTGCACTTGTGTGACCTTATGATAAATCAGACAGGCCACCAAGTTAGCACCCTTTAAGAACCTGTTGCTTTTTAAGTGAAATGCAGAAACTGAGCATGCACACGTTTTAACTCATGGCACCACAAAAAGACTAGGGTATGTGGACAACAACAGACTGTGGTAAGACAAGTGGGAGAAAAGAAGGGTAATCAAACTATTAAAATGTTAACATATTTTGTCATATTCTTAGGCACAGTTTCATCTGAAAATTAACTGAACTTGGCAGTTTTGGAGAAAAAGGCTGTAAATGATTGAAGGTAACATAAACATGCCACATCGGTGGGACAAAAGAGCTCGTACTTAAACTCTGACCATTAGAAGATATTTTTTAAAACATGCATTTAACTGAAAAACAGCAATACACACTGCATTCACTTTCATACAAAATGCTGCATATGGACTGTTGTATTAATAAGTGTTCTATAAAGAGAGTGTGAACAACTCATGAGTTCTATGAACAACTCATAATCGCAGTTTTCTGTTGTTTCTCACACTCAGTTTACAAGTGTTAGTAACTAAGGGATATTCTACAAACTAAGTCTTCTGTAACTGGCAGCAACATTAATTTCACATTCTATTTCACATTCTATTCTCATGAAAGTCATTCACACTGAAGCAATACAAAGCAATGCTCAAGAAAGAGTGTTTGTCCTGCTATTTGGAATGTATTTGAATAAAACGAAGGCCAGGCACATTAAGGCAAACAGAAAGACTAATAAAGTAAGACTTCCTAAAAACAGTAATTATCTTTAATACACTGGCTCCAACATTTTATGGCAGCAAAGAAGCTGAAGACTAAGTATCCATGCCCTGGCATATAATGTGTTCTCTTCACAGATACGATTTGCCGTAATTGACAATGGCAACAACTTTGCTTAGCAAACACCTCCAGCAACGTAATGCATTACCTCTTGTTTGGTACTTTTCAACCAAAAATTACTGCCTACTTACCTTTATTCTTCCCCAGAGGGAGTGAGAGAACACAAGCCCACACTTGACCTATTTCAATGAGAAGTCCAGTGGCTTACACTGAACTGCTAATAAAGATGAGTTTAAACTAAAACACTTTGCACAACAGTGGCTAAAACAGGGCACATACTTTAGTCTGCCAGCCCTGCTGTAGGGAAGAGTAATTTCAAGCAGGGGGCAGGTGGGCTCAGGAAGATAAGAACTTAAACCATGACAAAATGCTGAAAAACAAGCTATCCTTTTAGAAATCTTAAACTCATAAACAAGGACCTCAGAACTGGTTTTAACACATTTTAAGGGGACTGTGTTATGAGAACGAAGTTGTGAGACATAAGAGATACACATGGTAGCCACAGTTGAACAGATTCACCTTCCAAAATGAACTGCAGAATGAGATTCCTTACTTTTTTGTTAATAAAATTTACAGATATTGTCAAAACAAGATATAAATTACTGTTAGGCATTTTTGCTGATTTTTTGTATCTTTTTTTTTAATCACAATACCTTCTATATAATAAGTTAAACATATCAGTTAAACTAATTTATTTTGTAAACAAAGGGCTTTATAAACCAGAACACAATTTGTACCATTTTCCTAAGTTTCAGATGTCATATACATTTTTTTTTCTCTCTAGCTTAAGTTTCCCACAGTACTGGAAACCAAACACCAACAAACTCAAAGGAATTAACAAAAACAAAATTCACTGGACTGTTTCCCTTCCAAAACAAAGCACTTGAAAGAAGCAAACAAAACTAGTAGTTGAATCCTTTTAGATTCAGCTGGCTGAAAAACTTCAGGCTAATGTTACATATGCCTCAAAGTAACCATGGGGTCCCAGGCACTGCTTCAGGCACTGGACAGTGTCTGGATGACAGATAAGTCTGTCCCTCCACCGCCGGCAACAGCATTATGGGCATTTAGTGAAGCTTTAAGGCGGCAAAGGCTAATACTGTGATGGAGGCCTGGGAGCGCGAGGGGACCTTCCCTGTCTGACCCCCTTGGCGTGGCCGTCGGCAACGTGGTTGTGTGGGTTTCACTTTGGGGGTGGCAGGAACGGGTGTTTGGGTGTGAGTGGGGAATGGAGGGGACCCACCACCACCAGCACCTCCTGCTGCTGTGCTCGAACGCACACACGGAATGCTCCCAGCAACGTGGGTCTGCGGGGTCCTAGTACACCCCTGAGCTCCCTCAGCCCTGGGACGGGAGAACGCTCAGAATCCAAGGTGGGTCAGGCTGGAAGGGACCACAGTGCGTCACCGGTCCAACCTCCCGGCTCAGACAAGGTCATCCTAGAGCACACTGCACAGGACTGCATCCAGATGGTTCCTGAATTCCAGAGAGGGAGACCCCACACCCTCTCTGGACAGCCTGTCCCGGTGCGCGGTCACCGGTACAGTAAAGAAGCTCTTCCTCATATTCAGTTGGGACTTCCTGCGTTCCCGTTTCTCTCCGGGCTGGCCCTGGCTCGGCCCAGCCCCGCTCCCTCCCCAGCCGGGGCCGCCCCGTGCGAAGGCGGTGGGGCCACCACCCGCGGCGCTGCGCCCGCCCCGCCCCACCCCAGCGCCGCTGTTTACACCGGCCTCCGCCGACTCTGGGCCAGCTCCTCCCGGCGCCGGATCCCATCTCACCCGCTTCTGCCCCAGGAGGGGCAGGAGCGCTGCTCCCTCCCCCCGTGCCCGTCCCGCTCGCCCCGGCCCCGCCATTACCTACGGCGGCCGGAACTCGCCGCTTGGCAACGGCGTGCGCGCCCCCGCTCCCGCCGTGCGCGCCCCCGCCCCGCCGCGCGCTGTGCGCGCCGCCGCTCCCCCCGCGCCGCAGCCGCCGTCCCCGCCCGGGCCGGAGGGGTCTTCGCAGGCCCCGATAGTGGTGGCTGCCGCAAGTGCCTGCGCGGGCTGTCTGGCGGCTCGGCCGCGGCCGGAGCGGGGCAGGGGAGGCGGGAGAGGGGGGAGCCGCCGTGGCAGCAGGCGCTCGGCAGGGCAACACTGCCAAGCGAAGGCCCCCGCGGGCAGCTCGTCGCCCCTGGCAACGGGCGAAGCGGCGGCGGGGCCGGGCCGGGTCGGGGTCAGGGTCGGGGTCAGGGTCCGGGTCAGGGTCCGGGTCAGGGTCCAGGGGCCGCTCGGCGCCATGGCCGCGCAGGTGGTGGTGGTGGGATCCTGCATGACCGACCTGGTCAGGTCAGTACCGCCAGGGGGTTTCCTGCAGCCCTGAGGTCGCGGAGCGCAGGGCGTCGCGGTGCTCGGGGCAGAGCGGGGGCTCCCGGCCGGGCTGGAGCCGGGCGGGCGTCACGTTGCTCCCCAGGCCAGGATGGCAGGGGCGGAGCGCTCGGCCCCGGGCAGAGGGAACCGCGGCTGCGGCCGGGGCGGGGGAGGGAGCGCGCACCGAGACGGGCTGCACAGGGAGCGTGTGGAGTCTCCCTCACGGGAGAGGCACAAGAACGTCTGGACACAATCCTTTGCCATGAGCTCTAGGATGACTCTGTCTGAGCAGGGAGGTTGGACCAGGTGACCCGCTGTGGTCGCTTCCAACCTCACCCATTCTGGGATTCTGTGCAGGGGGGCGGCTGGGCCCGGGTGATGTCAGCCCGCAAATAGTGCTTTGAAAGAAGAGTGTGGGAACGGGGAGAAGTTTGAACGTGTTTGTGCGCTGGAGCTTTGATCAGCTGTCTGTGACTGGAGAGCGGGAGAGACTCGGGTTTGTGTTCTCAGCTGTGCCGAGTGGGTCGGCCTTGGCCTGGCCAGGAAAGCAGTGTTTTACAGTAACCTGCACGGGAAACCGTGAACTCTGAGACTTGTTACCAGCAGAGGAGTCTGACACGATTTTGTGGAAGTAAATAAAGCTGGTCAACTGTAACACATTTTCAGTTCAAAGCATTTGTCACCACTGGAAAAACGAGAAAGAAACAATATGACGAAACCGAAGTTAACTCCATGAAACAGTAGGTTGTACGTTGATTACTTGCAGGCAACATTTTGTGTGACACTTTGAAATGAGATTGGAGGGGGAGAGAGGGAATGCCTCCCAAGCTGTTCATATCCAAACAGATCAAGAAGTGGATATAGGAAGTCCTCAAAAATTTAGCACCTCTGCACCTCAAAGCTGTTTTTTAAATTATTACATCAGTTTTTTAAAGGAATGCCTTAATTTATTTTTATTCCTTTTCTGGGCATTTTGCTTTTCAAATTAAGTACTTGGGTCTAATTGTCCTTTCTTTTTCTTTTTTTTTTTTTTTTTTTTGTACATAGGTAAGGTCCGGAAACGTCTTCTAAAAATTAAAACACAGAAGCTCATAAAAGGTCTTGGTTCCTGTAGCCTGGGCTTTATAGTGAATACTAAATATTGGGAGAATTCAAGCAAAATTGCAAGAGTTTGCAACGATGCAAATCCTAACCTGAACCAACTGACCTTATCAGTCCCAGTAAACTTGCAAATCAGCCTTTGATTTTCACTATTTTAAACACATCTGTTTCTAAACTATATATGCAGACTTGATTAAAATAGGCTTTAAAAGTTTATGTATCTGGACTGTATCAGCTGGTCCTGCTAGGAATTCTGCAGTAAAAAAGTATCCTCTATCCACAGACAATTATACCAAAGCCTGTAGGCCAAGAAAGTGCAGAATATGTGATTAGAAGAATATGCTGAGGAGTAAGTACCATTTAGGTATAGACTTGTGTTGCAGAAACTATTAAATCCCTTAAATAATCACAGAACCTGTGTCAGAAAGATTTAATGCTTTATGTAATCTGCAGAACACGATGGCAGCTTTCCAAGAGGAATAGTTGTCTTGTAAGTCAGAGTAAGAACTGTGGAACTGATCTTGACGTTATGTGTGAATGAGCTATCAGATGCTCGTGACGTTGCACTGAAATGTAAAATGTGGTGCTCTAACCTCAAGACGTTCCTTTTCCTGTCTGTTGAAAGTGTAGAGGAAAAAAATAATCAAAAAATTCTGACAGCTGCAACTTTGGGCTTTTTTTGACACTTAAACAAACAAACAAACAAACAAGAAAACTCCCTTTTTTATTTTTTTTGGCTGCAAATTTGATATGATAGGAATGCATCATTCATTTGAAGCCATATTAGCTGGCCACACTGTAACCAGAGATTACAGCGTGGGCTGTAGCGATAGATGCTGTTACACTGAGATTAAGTGGTCAAAGAAAAGCCATTTCATTTTTCAATCAGCTGAGAGGATTTCTTCAATTGTACAAATGCTATCACAAGCATGTATCTGACTCACCATTATTAGCCTCTACTTTAAGGAGCGGTGGAGAGCTTTTTATGTGTGATAAGCTAATTTGCAAGGGACAGCTTCATTCTTTCTGTTACTAGCACAGGACTACAAACACTTAACAAAATAAGAAAAAGAGTGTGTTTAAGTTTAGCTGACGAGAGTTTAATCTGGAAAAAGTCTCCATATAGTACCAGTGTAGACATAGTTTAAATGTATCCTGAGTTACAAAAATCTGTGTAAAATTACCGGAAAGGACTAAGCAGTAGGCTTGGTTGCACCTAGGTGGAACAGGAAACTATAAACAAGTTTTATTAAATGTGGTAAAAACTGTCGGATTAGGATTAGGATTGGTACCAGGAGCATAACTCTTGACTGTCTTTGTATCTGGGATTTAGAGGGGGCTGCATATTCTAGATTTAAAGCTAGGGTTCTTTTCAGCTGGAATGAAAGACCATTCGGGTGGGGGTTGTGAGTTTGTCTGTCATTTATGCTGTTGTTTCAGTTTGCAAGAGACTTGGATAGCAGTGATCATGTTAAATGCCTGTCACTCATCTGGAGGAGCCCGAATGAATTTGTGAGTCACGCAGAGGAGGTCAGACACATTTTTGGATACATTGTGTTTGATGGGCATATTCACTGCTCAACACTAAAGCCTGTCTTCTTAGAAGATATTGATTGAGACTCTGTAAGAGCTACACAAACTCTGAGTTACTGTGTTATAACTCAAACTGATAAAATACCATGTTGGCCCTTTAAAATACAACCTTGTCCTTCTGTCCGGACAGCTAGAAGCTCAGGGTGTCAGACTTTAAATGGTAGTGTCAGACTTTAAATGTTAAGCATTCCCAGGTCTGTAGAGACAAGGTAGTGAAAAGTTTCAAGCTACCATTGGACATATGGTAGCCAGATTCACCACTAAAAAAATCAGTGCATAATGTTTTTACTCAGTACAGTAAACTGATGATTTAAAGAAGCGTAACCTCTGTGTGAAATGGAAACGCACAGTTTGAAATTTGCTGTATTTTATGTAATGACTGAGGCAGAAAAAGACAGGGACTTTCTGTTAAAGACAGGTATTCAGATTTGATTATTTTGAGAAATAATCAGATTCAGAAGAAAGGGTAGTGTGTCTTAAAATTCTTCTAAAGGGAAGAGGCCCAATGGTTTGCTTTTAAAACACTGTTCTCATTGGAAATTCTTTTCTCATTGTGCTGTAGCGCTGCAGTGGCAGAATGTGGGTTTTCTAAAGTGAACTTCATATGATCAAAACAGCCTCACGTACATACATGCAGTAAACCACACTCTTTTGGCTTAGTAGGACCAGGAACAAAACATATTTGTGGTCACAGTCACAATCAACACTTCATTGGCAATAGCAGGCAATGGTAATAGAAAACAAAAACAGCATTATTCTATATGATCTAGATATCAAACCAGACAGGTACTATCCATAGTATTATTTAAATAATTTCTCTTCTGACTCATATTTACAGACTGGTCGTGGCATTGGCATTTTAATTCATATTAAGTCAGGACAAGACTAAACATATAAACCAATGAGAGCCAGACACACTAAAACAATTACAATAAACAGGAGAAACTTTGGCATGGCAATGGAAAACAGCACAAGCATAGAACAAAATGTAAGATGGAAAAACAGTCTTTGGATAGTCACAACAACAACCTTTCAGTTTAACTTAAGAGAATGACACCACAGTCCAAATACTGGAAAAGTATATTTGTTAGAATGTTCAGAATTTAAAGAATTTTCTATGGACCTCTTTCCTGTCATCATGTTGCTTCACTCCCTTTAGGGAGTAGAAGTAAAAGTTCTGCTTCCAGCCTACTGTTGTAACAACCAGCCTTAATAATTATCGTGAGTATTAAACTGATTGACTGAAAGTATTCGGCAGGAGAAGAAGGACAAGGCAGAGAAGGCACTGAGGTACACACAGAGTACTGTGTTGCTGAACTGGGGCAGACAGCAGTGACAAAAGCACACCCAGTATAAAGATCCCAGACAGACACATCACGTCACCTTTGCTAACTGAGCACAACCTCTGCCTGGACCAAATAGCAAAGGTATCATCTCCTCTAGTGAGATCCTATGTCTTCATCTTAAGTCTCTAGTGGTGGTTATTGTCTGCTGAAGTGCTCAAGTAAATGGCTCATTGGCACATTAGAAATGTCCGTGATCCAAAGCTATGTATGCACTTTCTTTTTTAGAAATGCGTTATTTGGAACAATAATTTCAGGAGGTTTTGGTGGGAATATGAAGAGGAATTTTCTTACATTTCTTTTGAGTGATCAGAGGAAATCTCACATATGACTTCATTTTCTTCTTTGCTTTGTTTCCAGATCTCACACATGTTCTCATTTCCACCATTTCTCCTGCACGCACAGTCACCAACTTTAATGGTTTTGTCTTGTTTTAATATTTTTTTTCTGCTCTTCAGCTTCTCCTAGCAGCAAAGTGTTCTAGAATCCTTCAGATTAATTTCATTTGTGTTTTTGTTTTTATCTGTAATGCTTCCCCTGCAGCAGCCACTCCTCGTTCTAGTCAATCTGCCATTGCCAGCAGCATGGGAAAGCACAATTGTGAAGGAATACAAGCTTAGTCCAGTTGAGGAAATTAATCTTCTGGATTCAGAGAAAGGCATCAAGGCATGAGAGAATGTGTCATCTGTGAATTGTTTCATTTATGTAAAGGTGAAAAATCTGGGCTTGATTTCAGAACCAGTGCTGTCTGCCCCTTGTCTTGTTTTCTGACCTAGCAAAGTCTGGGTGCATAGTAAAGGCTGGATGCACAGGCTCAGCATTTTGAAATTCTGCTCTGATTTTGGAGGACCTAAATGTGGTTTAGATAAACTTCTCTTTGCCTTCTCTTGCATAGCAGGAAGAAAGTTGTGTCTTGGGGCCCCGAAAAGAAAAATGGGATAAGAATCAAGTTGATGAAATCTTCAGTAATGGCATTCACTAAGAAAATTGTCTTCTGTGCATATACAGCTTTTGAATAT